TCCAGTCTGATGTTGGGGGGGGGGGGGGATGGTTCAAGCAATTTTTATTATCACCTTTTGCCCGTGTCTGTGTTACTTTTCTGTTAGCAAAATATTTCCATAACGAAACTCCAAAGTAATAATTTTATGTTCATCATCAACTGATTCTAGTCAAATGTTTCAGCTGGACTCAGTTTACAGACACTCAGCTAAAGTTCAGCTGATGCTCGGACTGATCAACATCTAAAAACTCTGCCGCTTACTATTTGTACTCAGTATTGTTGGTTTGTTAGCAAAATATCTTCTGAACAAATGGATGGATTTTAATGAAACTTGCAGAAAGTATCTACTGTACGTAGATCTACAAGTTGTGCATTTTTGGAGTTAATTAAATCAGGACGACCGCCACATGTGACCGCAAACACAAACTTCATCTTTACAGATAATGAGGAAGACTTTGGAGTGGTAGTAGCTGAGAGTCCTCCTCAACGAGGCTCAGTGAGACCTAAAGCTACAGCTCACTTTATTAAACTGAGCTCAGTCTAAGACATTAACATAAAGAGCGGCGGGCAACATGCATTCATTTTATTTTATTCAGATTTAATTAGTGACACATCCCCGCGAGCACATCGGTCCTATACATTGTTTTGCACGAATAACCAATAATAATAATAATAATAATAATAATAATAATAATAATATAAATAACAATAATAATAGTGATTATGATAATAATAATAATAATATAATAATAATAATAATAGTAATAATAGTACTAATATAATAATAATAGTAATAATAGTACTAATATAATAATAATAGTAATAATAGTACTAATATAATAATAATTGTAATAATAGTACTAATATAATAATAATAATAATAATAATAATAACAGTGGGCCGTCGTGTTTGGCTCGTGGCGCTCAGACTCTGTTCGCGTGATCCCGGACTCTTTGAGGACCTCGTGGAGCCATGATCTGAAACGAGTCAGCTGTTAACTGGGATCAGTCAGAGCTCCAGCTGTTCGGTTCAATCTGCAGCTGCTTTTGGTCTAAAAAAGCGGGGAAAGCGACCAATTATTAATGTTTTCATTTATTTTAGAAACCAGTTTACAGGAAGGTGTTCAGGTTTAATTATGAATGTAAAAAAAATCATGCTTGTATAAAAAAAATTATGTTGAGAGTTAAATAACTTTATTTGGGTTATTTATTTAGAATAGGTTTGCTAATTTTTAGTTTTGCATGATTGGATTAGTTTCAGATAATTATGTGTGTTTTTAAATAAACTGTGCATAAAACAAAGCATATCACTCGTTTATAAGTAAGAGCTAGTTTTTGAATGAGGAATGAGAGCAATAGTTATCAATATTTTATTATAAAATTTAAGAATAAATAATAATAATAATAATAATAATAATAATAATAATAATAATAATAATAATAATAAATAAAAGCACACATTAACTATAAAAATTACATTGTTCGTCAATTTCATTTATTTCCTTAAAAAAAAAAAAAACAACCAAACAAACAAACAAAAAAACTGTCAGGTGTTTGTCAGGTTTAATCAGAAATCTTTTCCTCGGAGCTCTTGAACTTCAGGTGTTTCTTTTTCTGCAGCGCCATCTAGCGGTGCGCTCCGTTTTAACACAAAGATTGGTCAAACAAGATGAGAGCAGCAAGTACCAAACTACAACAGTGCTCAGGAAAATCTATATAAATTTACTATTAACTGATTTAAGTTAAACTAATAGCTTCTTCAGGAAAGATAAGCAATCCTTCTCTAAAATCAAAATGTAATTTCCAACACTTGTTGTAAATCAGCACTTCTGACAGCTACACATTGTATTCATCAACATTTTGGAATGTATACAAAATAATTTGAATGCTTTTTTATTTATTTATTTATTTATTAGCCTTATATAAATACGAAAGGACTTCAATAAAATGTTAATGGACTGTACTTATATATCACTTTTCTATCTTATTGAGACACTTAAAGCTCTTTACAACAAACTGTGCCTTAGTTACTCATTCATACAGCTCTATACTAGATCTATACAAAGAATAATCAGAGCTTTATCACATTCATGCACTGATGGGACACACATCGGACGCAGTGAGGGGTTCAGTGTCTTGCCCAGGGACACTTCAGCATGTGACTGCTGATGGAATCGAACCCCCAACTCTTGCATTGGAGGACGACTGCTCTAACCACTCAGCCACAGCCGCCCCATACATAAAATAAATAATAAAAATATTTTTGTTCAATCACTGGCTCCACTTACAAGCTCCATGGCTGTATTTAATTAACAACAACAACAACAACAACAATAATAATTAAAGCTGCAAGCAGCGTTGAAGGCCCTCGCAGCTAAGCGCCGCTGCGGCCTCATGGCGACCGCGGGAACTCGAGCTACTCTTCCCGGTCGCCATGGAGAACGCTCACGCTACTGTCACACGCCCATTTTCCGGAGTGCGCATTCACAGAACCTTTGACATCAGCTGCAACAGCATATATAACAACTGTAATAATGTAGGGGGCGCACTTGAGTCAAATAATAAACAACAACACCACTGTGTCCATAAGTCCTCACTAATCAAGCACCAAAAATCTGGTACAGATCAGACAATATATCACTGAGATATAACAGTTTGATTTATGTAGGGGGCGCACTTGAGTCAAATATTAAACAACAACACCACTGTGTCCATAAGTCCTCACTAATCAAGCACCAAAAATCTGGTGCAGATCGGACGATATATCACTGAGATATAACAGTTTGAATAATCTAGGGGGCGCACTTGAGTCAAATATTAAACAACAACACCACTGTGTCCATAAGTCCTCACTAGTCAAGCACCAAAAATCTGGTCCAGATCGGACGATATATCACTGAGATATAACAGTTTGATTAACCTAGGGGGCGCACTTGAGTCAAAAGTAAAACCACCATACCATTGCGTGTTTAAGTGCTTACTTATCACACACCAAAAATATGGTCCACATCGGATGACATATCACTGAGATATAACAGTTTGAATAATCTAGGGG